ATTACCCCTACTTAACATCCACTGGGTCGCCGGCGACCCGGTTTAAAGAGGATAAACATAAAACAAAATAAAAATTACATTTCTGACCCCCAAAAAGTGTTTTGTGTCTTTACTTCTTTCTGTATCTCTGCTTCTGTCTCCTTGAACCCCAGTCGGCCATTCTAGTAACATAAGCATGCTTATGTTACTATCTATAACAGTCTGTTATGGACAATAAATCAAAATCAGAGTAAACAACAAAATTTCAATCTGAGTGGCTTAAGACAGAGTAGGCCTACCAATCCAGGATAAAGTGCTGATAACTCTCGGCCCCTGAGCAAAACGCTTAACTCTACACTGCTCACCGTGTGGCGCACAGGGGTAACCCACTGCTCGCCAAGGGGAAGGTTAAATGCAGAGGTACATTTCTCCAGTGTGAGATCAATAAAGTCTAATTATTATTATTATGTGCTGTTTGTTGTGTTATATTGCACTAACTTTTACAGGTGCAAGAGCTCCTTAATTTGTCAATCAGCAAAAAATGCGGGATATGTTTTTGTTCACTGGTCATTCTTGAAAACGTAAAGTACAAATATATTGTTATAAACATGTTAGGAAGATGGTGGTCTGATCCTAATTTAAGTTTAACTCCTTAACATGATGAAAATATGAGCCATAGACCTCCTTTAGAGCAAAATAAAAAGCCTGGTATGTTTGGAAGTTTTGACTATTGATGGCTACAACAGACAAGCTGTTGCATATTCGACGTATCAGTGGGAAAAAACAAAAACTTTGATTTACAAAGACGTACAATGGTGAATATTGTCACAAGCAACATTATTATTGACAGAATTTTACGTACTATATTATGATACAAATATATACAGTTCAATTACTTAAATTCAGTACAATAACATAAACATTCTTTATTCCAGATCTGCGCTTGTTTACATAAAAAATAATATATAAGCGTAATCTAGCGCCTAGTTTTTGTAGCACACACCTACTTAGAATATTAAGATAATTTTGATCTTAAAAGAAAAATCACTAATCTATTGCTACAATTCCTGCTTTTTATTTTCCTTTCTCCTAAAATAACCCTGAACATATTAACAGAGGCTTAAGTTGGAGAGGTTGTGACCAAAGGTGAACAATCATGTCAAATATCAATTTAAACAGACTCTAGGGAACCTACTGGACCAAGACATTGTGAGCATGAAGGGTTCTTAATTCTGAATAATCAAATAAGCCAAATTGGACTTGACAGAGCATGATGTTTATAAAATGCACACAAAACCCAGGTATGCTAAGCTGTTTTTAATGATAGAAATATTGCTTATGTTTTCCCTCTCTAAATTCAAATCCATTCAGTATGACCAACGTTGTTTTTGATTACCTGAGTTAGGTTGTTGAATTCCCAATGAAGTTGCAGCAGATCGCTGTCTGAACTGTCTGAGGACCCGCTACCAAAGGTTTCTGTTGCAGCAAACCTACATCATGCAATGTTTGGGTTTGTACCTTGCTTGGGAGTCTGCGTTTTGAGTTGATCTGTTTTCATCAGAAGAAGGCAGTTGCCATGCGAAGCAATGCTTTGCAGAGAACTTCAAATTGTTGATGTTTTTGTTGATAAAATCAGAGAAGAAAGATTCTCCTGCATCCTTTAGCTGTAAATTATATCTGTCTCTTTATAGATTTCATAGTGGTTCGGCTTTTGGCATTCCCTTTTCTCTTCTGTCACTGCTGGAGCATTTCTCCATGGAGATTTCATCTTCCCTGAGACAATTTTCACTTTAACAGGAGCAATGGTGTCTGCAACTTTAGAATAGAAATGATCAATCAGCTGAACTACTGAGTTACAGGGTAGAGCGATAGCGGAAGGGTAAAGTTATAACACCCTTCCTTACAACATTTACTTTGGTGATTAGATCAGTGGGAAAAATGGTTTAAAAGTAAACAGAAGTTACAAAAACATGGAAATATTTAGACCTTTAGATGGCCACACCTAAAATATTGCAATTGATTGTGTTTTGACTGTTTGAAATATGGAGTCAAACCAAAACTTCTAAGTATATCACACAGTTCTTTTGCACCCTTGTCTTCAGGGTTGTACATGTACATTAAAATCCCCCACATTAATTAAGTAGTCAATTTTTTTTTTCCCGTTTTGTATTCGAGCCTATTTTAGAAACATTTGTGTTTCTGTGTTTCTGAACCGAAGCATGAAGGCTTTAGTCTACAGGCTGCAGTGAAACCAGATGACATTTCAAGTCACTTAGATAAAACATAAAGGAAACTTTGCAAGTAAAAGTCATCTGTAGATCTGTGATTTGAATATGATTTGCATGAGATGAAGGTTTGCATTGACAAATGTAGAAAACGGCATGTAAAACTGTCTTTCCATGATCCAATCTGCAGACTGATGTAGAAAAAATGAGTAGAAAACACTACAGCATTAATTCAAACAGGATCATCAGCAATTTATCTGTAGATCATTTTTATCTCTGTTGTACTGATGTAGCAGCCCTCAGAGTCCTTAGAATGTGGACTGTTGAAAATAAATCCTGTTACTTCATATCATCCATTTATTGTGTATTATTCAGTAATTAATCTTAATCTCACATTATAAACACATCCTTTTAAAAACATTTTTTTTAGGATGAAGCTATAGTCCACATTTTTGTAATCAAACAAAGTTGCACAGACGATAAAATTCAGAAACCATTTATGCGAAATACCAGTAGGAGTGAATCAAAGGTTGACATTTATTATGGAGCAGACATTTGTCTCATCAGAACAACAGCTCCACAGTTTAGCTTCTGTATCAGAAACACAACAACTTTCTGAAGGTTGGATTAAAGAAAATATGATTTCCTCTGAGGTCAGAGGTGGAAGCAGGTTGTTAGTTTCTGCTGCTGAAGCTGAACTGGAGACTCTGGATGAGATAGAGGTTATCTCTTTACTACATGAGGTTTAGACAGAAAAGGATGGCGATGGGTTTTGGTTTTATCAATGGGGAACTTTACTATGTCATCATTAGTGTGAAGGAGGAAGTATCACAGCAGACTTTCTTTAAAAATGTGAAAAATCAGTGTTTTACTGTGTGAAGTATGATGAAGTTTTGTTATATAATTACCTTTTATTTATTCATATTTTCTTCTCTATCACAATCAATATTTACCTTTTTACAGAATTGACTGAATTACTTGAGATTTAATGATTCATGCAATTATGTGTCACATTTTGGTTGTGGTTTAGAGGACCCAAATACAGAGGCAAAGAGGCTGAGGTGATTTCTTGTAGTTTTAATGCAAACACAAATAATAGATGCAAAATCCAAAAATCCAACTAAAAATGCAATACAGACCAGAACCATGGAGACATGAATATATAGCTGGCAAAGACAAAGGCAGGGCTGATGAGCAGATGAGGAGCAGGTGTGAGAGGAGACAACGAGGAAGCCAAGGGGAAAGAAAAACTCACAAGAGGACAACAGAGGAAAACAGAAAAACCTGAGAACTAACATAAATCTAGAAACCACAACAAAACAGGAATTAAACCAACAAAACCAGGAAACATGGAACAAAGTAAAGCACAACAGAACCAAAACCATGACATTATGTAATTCATCTCTATTCATTTGTCTGATGTTTTAAAGCTACAGTGTGTAATAATTACAGGGATATACAGTCAGAAATGTAATATATTATACATAACTATGTTATTTATCATCATCTACGAGCTCAGCCTCTTAACCTTAATATTTGCGTTGCCTTAGAATTCGTTATTTATAATTACATAGGAGCGGGTCTCGCAGCCATGGAGGCAGACATCTTTGTGCTACGGCAGCGCAGAGCCAACAAACTAGCGATTGCGAGATCGCCCATTACGCTCGAAAGTAACTACGGCAAGTTGAGAGAGATGAACTGAGACGGTACTGAACACACAGACTAATGAAATACTATCTGTAAAATTATCTACGTAAACAAACCTCACCACTTGAGAAGGTAGGTGATGCGGACGTCGTGGAAGACATTTTGTCCCGTAACGCTCGCCGTACTGTTGGGGGGGAGAAGCGGTGGGGGGGAGATGTTTATGTTGCTGCGGTCTGCAGTCTGGACGTTAGATGTCGCTGAAAATTACACACTGTAGCTTTAAGTTTTCAAGAGATAAGAAGATTTAGAAAATTCGTATTTAGCGAAATTTGGGCAAAAAAGTATATCAAAAAATATTTACACCTGGAAAAAGTTGGTTTCATAAAAAAACAGATCCATACCTAAAAAAATTGGTCCTAAGAAAAATATTTAAACTTGAAAACTAAAAGTTTGCTCAAAAGAAAAGAAAAAAAAACATTCTTCATGTATCTGAGTCTAGTGGTCACTAACCTGAGTATCTATCTGTACAGGGAATCCAGCAGGCTGGTCCCAGCTGATGATTAGTGCAATCCAGAGAGGTCAACAATCCAGTTATATCTGCCTGAATTCTGGGTCCTATTTTCTGTGCCTTGACAGAATATTCTGGCCAAACATGGACCCATCAGCAGACAGTGGTGTGAGGGCGTTGAGCTGAGCATGACTCAATTGCAATCAGGTGTTCGAGAGATTCTTTATCATCTGCGCAATCAGGCTTTGCCTGCCCCTATTCCCCCTGCTCACTGCAGCTTTAGATTCTATGCCACTGGGTGTTTTTTCTTTTTTTTTAACAGTGTCCTGTCTGGCGATGTGGCAATAAGAATAATTGTCTTGATGCCAAAAAGAGCTCAACAGATTTCACTTTCACAAGTGGAGCAGTCCGGCTATCTCCATATTGTTCCGCTTGATTTATGCATATAAATAGCTTTATTATACGCCACTGGGTGTTAATACTATCACTCATGAGACGCGTCTGTCATCTGTTGAGTTGTTTAGACGTGATCCGGAATATTGCTCCTTTTTGACCCTGTGGGAGATCCATTTTAAGCTGCAGCCCTTCGCATTTTCCTCTGATCAAGCTAAAGTAGTTTACGTAATCTTTTTGTTAGCGGGATGTGGGGAACGTCAGAGTGACAAAAAAATCCCAGCCTGTGTAAATCTTATCGGGTCTTTTCTCAGGAATTAATGGAATTAATTTTTTCCCAGTTCTCCCCTGCAGGGAAGTTTCAAGGGGACTCCTGTCTTTAAAACAGAGAGATCTGACTGTTGCTGAGTACATAATCGACTTCCACTTGCTGGCATCAGAGAGCCCCTGGAACGAGGAGACGCTCATGGACGTGTTCATTAATGTATTAAATGACAGGATCAAGGATGGACTTTCCAACAGAACCACCCTTGGTACCTGAAGCAGCATAAGGATTTAGCTTCTCAGATTGATCTTCGTGCCCTCGGACGATACAGAGAGCGGAGAGCCAGACAATCACTTACTAATCCCTTCTTCCACATCTTTGGCTAATGTTGGAGCATTCAATTCTTCTCACACCCCGGGTTCTTTCCCGATGCAGCTAGGAAGCACTTGACTCTCCAGGGAGGAGAGGGATGGGTGCTTAAATGTAGACTGTGCCTCTACTGCAGTGGAGAGGTAAACTGGGATTACAGTGGAAGTGGAAATCCTGTTGGGCCAAGCCAGACTATCTGTCTCCCCAGATTTTCTTCTCCCTGTATCATTCTCTGTTCATTCTGCTTGTCATAGCCTGTCCACTTTCGTGGACTATGGAGCAGATACTGAGTATATGGACGGGAATTTTGCCAGACGACTTGGCATCAAGTTTCTTCCTTCACCGGACTCTCACAAGGTTCTAGCTTTGGATGTCATCAACTGATCAGATTCTGTCTCATGATGGAACTTGTGGTGGGTGGCCACAATGTCAAACTGCAGTTAACAACCTTGGATCTGTACCCGTACCCGGACCTCTGTGTCTCACTGATCTTCTGGTCTTGACATCTGCTTCGTCACCTGCTCTGGATTCTGCCTCTAGACTCTTCTGCTCTTTTGCGTTTGAGTCTAGTGGTTACTAACCTGAGTATCTATCTCTACAGAGAATCCAGTAAGCTGGCCCCAGCAGATGAGCCACACAATGCAGAGCAGTCAATAAAGCATTTAACTTTTACACAAACCTGTTCTGTCTGAATGAATTCTGGGTCCTATTTTCTGAGTCTTGACAACGTTTGTTTTATGTCAAGCTTGCAAATTTCATTTTTATTTTCAAATTTACAGATTATTTTTTTATTTAAATATTTTTTTTTCTTTTACTTTTGGCCCTGGAGTGGGGTGGCAGGGGCTCAAAGGAGGGGTTTGTTCATGGCTCCTCCCCTTTTTTTCATGACCACTCCTCAAAAGTGTTTGATTATATATTTTGTTAAACTCCAAAATAACCTCAGATATACCCTTTCAAGAGATTTGAATTGAGCTAAGCTTCTCCTACTTCATGTTATCTCCAGGACTACGCTGCTTTCCAACAGTTGTCTAGATCGCAGAGGAAAACTATGCAAGTACTTGGTTTGCACAGAGGGCTCGCTCTTATTATATACGGCTAAAAATAGTGTGAAAATTAAAAAAACAATATTATGTGTTGTTACTAAAAAAAAATATGATCAAATTTGTGATTTATTATACTTAAACACATAAGTCATACAGTGATTTCTGTAACAAATTTTTTAAGACTTTAAAATTAATAAAAAGAAAACCAAAACTACGATAAAACGGAACCTTGCTTTTTCAGCTGCCAGTATGACTCTACAATGATAAAAACAATTGAACTGATCTTCAGCATTATTGCCATCACCACAAAGGTGATAAATCTACACCTGTTACATTGTGAGGTACAACATATTAAACACTGTCTTTAACTTTGTTCTCTTGGATAACATTTTCTGTTATAAACATATCAAACATTTTAAGGTGTTGTAATTAAATTAAGTCTTTTGTAAACAGAAACAATATTTCAAGCTAATTAGCAGCTCATGGACTCTTGTTGTGCCTTAACAGCACCTCCCACCAAAATATGCTCAACATATGAGGTTTTACTTTCCTATTTTCGCTTTTCTGTCGCATCAGAAGGTTTTTATGACAGTGCTGCACCTGCTGGTGTCATAGAAATCACCAAGGAGGCAATCGATTACCGCCATCCTAAGTATCCCAATGTCATCTTGGACTTTCCTGTAATTGGAACCCCTGCGTTTAAAGCAGAGGATTACCTGAAGGATGTTGGATGCAAGACCTTTGACTTCTTTGTCATCATGTCAGCTGATCGTTCAGAGAAAATTATGGTAAACTTGCTGAAGAGATCTTAAAAAATAAGAAAAGGTTTTACTTTATTCACTTAAACATCGACAATATTTTCTGAGATGCAAAAAGAAAGAAAAAACTTAGCACTAATTTACATTTGAAGTGGATGTCTCTCATTAATTTCCCTTTTAATTTCACCATCAAATTGAGGAGCAGTTGTTGCAAAGTGAGGACATTTTGCTGGTCCTCACGTGCTTTTTTGTTAATGGTTAGGTTTAGGGCTAAGGTGTCAATTGGGTTAGGGTTAGGGTGAGGTATGCATTGGTAATGGTTAGGTTTAGGGTTAGTTTTAGGGTTAGGGAATAGAAAGGGTTGAAAATGAATGTAAATCATTGGAAGTAGACTTAGACTTTGACTTAGGCAGAACTTTATGGATCCCTTGGGAAGACTCCCGCCGGAAATTAAAGCTGCAGTCTGTAACATTGAGAAGAGAGCAGACTTCGACTGAAAATTTGAAGAAAAACAGGTTTCACGCCACTCCCCCACCCTCTCTGCTTCACTCATGCCCCACCCCAGCGTGTGTGAGCTGTGATTGACACTCCATCAGACGCTCCTCTGGCTGTGATTGGTTGTTTTGACTCGTCCCGAATTATTCTTTCCAGATTGCAATACAGGCAGTATGCGGGACCAATTGAAGCAGTTTTTTTCACAGGTTACATATCACATGTACTGCTGTCTGGGCATAGGGACAGTTTTAGCCAATATGACAAAAAAGTGATTTTTAAAAACTTACAGACTTCAGCTTTAAGGTTACCAGCAGCTTACAGGGCAAAAAAGTATTAAGTTAAATTAAGATAATATTAAGCTACAAAAAAGTATTAAGTTAAATTAAATTAAAATTAAGCAAAATACAAATTAAGCAATGAGTCAACGGGAGTCAACATGTGGTCCTCACTATGACGGCAGAATGAGTGTACATGTGTAAAAACTTTTTTTTCCTTTTTTCTCTTTTACAGGTAGCTTGGAATTGAGTCTCCAGAGATCTTCCTGGTGTCCAACCCAGAGATTCATCTGTATGATTTTGATGCTCTGATTTAGGCCTTTGAGAGAGATCTTCCTAAAAACAACATGGATGCCCAAACTTTCTCTCCAGATTTCATCATGAAAAAGAAAGAGATTTTTCAGCGTGTTTTATGGGGTTTGACAGCTTTATCAGGTGTTGCAGCAGCAGTTCCAGTTCCTGGGTTGTCTGCTGCCGTTGATCTGAGCTTGCTGGTTGGTACTGTCACCTATTATGCGAGTGGGTTTGGTCTTGATATCCCATCTCTAAAAAGGCTATCTGTCAGAACAGGCATACCATACAAAAAACTGAAAGCTGTCCTGAAAAGTCAATTGTCTGGAGTAGAAATAACTAAAGATCTCATCATGAAAATTATTGCTGAGCTTTCATTCTGTGTTTCCCTGGAGGTAGTAGAAGAGGGTTCCAGATGCATTCCATTAATTGGAAGTGCAATAGCTTTCTCCCTCTCCGCAGTCCTAACCTACAAACTTTTGAATAAGTTCCTTGATTTGCTAGCCGAAGATGCCCTGAGGCTACATGTAACGGTCCTGACAAATCAGTAAGGAAAATGTTAAAACCTCTTGTTAAAAAAATGTCTGAAACGCTGTGGTAATCAAAACTCATTGTATATTTACTGCTTATTAATCTAATAAGCATAAGTTCATTACCTGCCAACCGTTATCAATGCAGAGCAGCATTTATTTTCTTTTTCTTTTTACAATATAAGATGATTTCTTTACTTAAATCCATATTTGAGTTTCAAATATGAAACTATCCTTTTATGAATTACATTTTGTTCTGAAAGTTTCTCTGCAACTTCTGACTTAGGTTTTCAGATTGGTTTTGAGTTTTTGATTATCATCCTTTTGAAAATATGTACTTCTTTTGACTATTTGTGTTATAACTTCACCTTATATCATAAGTTAGCTTTTCCTGATACATGTTTAATGATCTGATTCATTTTCCTTATTCAGACCAGAATTCATCTTTGAAACAATAGAATAGGAGTAGAAGTGTCACTGTGTTTAATGCATGCAATTTTAGTAGTTGAAAAGGGACTGAATGCTGACTTTGCTACAAAGCATATAAAAACTGTATTTCCAAATAATGCATTCGGAAGAAATGACATCATATTGAATGCATTTATATAGACTCCCAACTCAGATATAACCATGTTTCATTACTTATTATATGTTGATGTAGTAATTATTGAAAGAGTAATTTCATTTTGTTATTTTTGGCTTATTGTGTTTTGTTTTTTTAACCATTGTGTTTTCTTGGTTTTCACCTACTGTGATTTTGGTAATATTCTAAATAAAAGAGAAAAAGAATGACCCGATTGAGTCATTGAGTGAAGTCCAGTTAAAATAAATCTTCTGCAGCAAGCTTCCTTTTCTGGTATTTCAGATCGTCTATTCACTTGATCCCCCTAATCCTACTTTTTCTACTAATGTCAAACTAAAATATGTAAATTTGTTTGAAATAATTTGTAGTACTTAAAAATAGCCATCAGCCATCTTATTGTGGGAGACGATTCTCTGGTTAGATTAGTTCTTAATCAAAGGCTAAATCTGCTATATGTGTATGTAAATGTCTATTATCAATCCCACTCTTTAAATATTGAAACCATAAAAAATAAAAAAATAAAATCATCTGATGGAAGAAATATGTTTCTTAAAGTATTATGCAGATAGATTTATCCAAATCAAGTCTACCTGGAAACTTATTGATAATTTGAAATAAAGTCTCATTGGAATTTGACTTTTTTTGTACACCAAATTTTAAACAGATTTTTTTTTTTACCTTTGAATTTTAAACACTAAATCTTAATAATTTTTTTATACATTGAATTCCTTCCACAAACTTTTTATCTGGTGAAAATTCAGCTGCAAAACATTCCCCTGCAAATGTGTTGACCTTCTGGTAAACTCAAGCCAAAGCAATCTACACTTGATGAAGTCGAGCAGCTTCTAGCCAATGAAATTAGCTCATTTGGTCAGAAAAAAACAACACAAAAGAAATCTTCATTCAGCTTCATTCAGCCGGGTATGTTCCGCTATGCACAACTGTTGTGTCACCTGACAAAATTAGGTTACAGTCACAGAGCAGCAGACTTTGGTCAGTGACCTTAGAGCGCCACCATCTTTTCAGACAGCATCACTGCTTTGAACTATCGGTGAAGAAAATATTAACTTTCCATTTAGATTAAAATTAATCAATAAACATGAAATAATTTCCAACATAAACAGAATAAAAGCAGCAGATAAAGATCTTTGAGCTCAGTAACAATCTCCATCAGCTGTTCAAGACAGAATAACAGAACAGATCATTGGTTCTGGTTGGTTGGGTCCAGAAAGATTAAATCTAATATTTATACAACTGAGCAGCTTGGAAATAATTCAGTCTTTGTAACCAGAATTGTTCTTCTTTTCTCTCTGAACCAAATCCTCATCATGATCAGAACCATCAGAGCTGCTGTCAGTCCCAGTGGGATGAAGATGAAGGTCCTTCCTCGTCTCTCAGGTTCTGGAGTCAAAGTTGGTCTCTGAGTTTGGATCTGATCAGCAGCTGCTGGAGAGAAATCAGAAATATTTATTTCTACTTGTTCATGTTTCAAACTGAGATTCAGGAGGCTTCATCTAGAAGATGGAGATGTTTGTTCATCAACACAGTAGAAAGAAAAATACATTTAGATTATTTCTACTAACCAGTTATGTTCAGGCGACACGTTTTAGAGCCATAGCGACGATCAAACTCCACTTCACACCGATACAGACCAGAGTCTTCAGTCCTCAGTCTGGAGACATGGAGTCTGATTCGTCCTTCTCTGAGGACGTCTTTGTCACTCTGGACTCGTCCTGAAAACTGTTCATCCTGAGACTCTGACACCTCAACACCTTCATTGACGTGATAGAGGACAGAGGCTCTGGGAGGAGCTAATAGTTCACAGAGGATAAACAGTTGTGTCCAGGTTCTGTTGGTTCTGGTGGTGAAGGTTTGGTGTTCTAATAGTCTAATAATCATGATGCATTACTCTCATCTAGTGGATATTTTGGGTAATGGCAGCTTTGAAGTACCAAATTTTCTGTAAATTGATTTTTTTTTTCTACAGAAAAAAATTAAAGTCAGAGAATTAAAAAGAATATACAAACTCATGTGAACATCTTGTTACATGTTATAAGCATGTTTGGTACCATGGAGGGAAATGCTGGGAGGAGACAGGTCTGATAACTGGTCTCCATCGTATTTTGAAAGAAATGAATGAAGTGTTTACTCTCAGCTGTTATCAGTCAGTCATTGGAGGAGCTGCAGAGCTGCCTCAGATCATAAAGGAGCTGGTGCTGTATTCCAGGAAGGCTTCATCCTGCTGTCGCTCACCTGTCCTGTTCCACCATAGCTGGTGGATTTCATCACCAACTAAACATGCTTAAAATGCAAAAACATGTCAGCTGACTGATGATGGGACAAATCAGAGTTCCTATAATAATCAGAGGTGTCAAAAGTATTAATGTTTACTACTCAAGTAGAAGTATAAATCATACTGTTTAGAAACAGTTTTGTAGAAGTTAGAGAATCAACTTAAGATTTTTACTCAAATAAAAATGTAATAGTACAATTTTTAAAACTACTTAAAGTATAAAATTAAAAGTAATACATCTCTGGATGTTAACTTCCTTATACATAATTTTCATAGTTTTATAACTAATGCAAACAGTGTGAAATTTAACTTTGCGTCATCTTGAAAAACTATTTTATATTTTTATGTGGCGAAGTGCAAGTTGGTGCACTATTGAGTCCAACCACAAATAAATTGTCTGGGTGAAACACATTTTTTTATTGTTTGTTGTTTAGTTTTTTTAAATACCAACAGGCCTTAAAAAATGTATCTTAGAATGAAAGCCAACGAGACTTATTTTTATTTTTTTTATTTAAGGAGTAGAAAGTAGAGATAATTGTAAAAACATTTAAGTAGTAGAAGTAAAAAGGTGTATAAAATAATCACTCCAGTAAAGTAAATATAGCAAAAATTTCTACTTAAGGAAGATTAGGAAATTTGTTTACTTTGTTATTTGACTCATTTGGTAATAATAAAATGTTGCTGAAAGATTCCTGAGGTTATTCTTGACAAGGACTGATGTCAGAGAGATAAAGGCTCAGAGAAACCAGTCAGACCATTTTAACTCACAGCTTTCATTAAAACGAAACTGTTTTCTTATGTGAGATCAGTTTTCATGCTGACACTTTAGGCTGATTAGGTTACTGGGAAATAAACAGCAAGTCCCAACAGATAAACACCCAATTCAGATCTAAGATTGTTTTTCAGAACAGAAATCTGAGATTTATTAGAGCTTCTTGAGTTTTTATTGAGGGTCACAATGAGGAGATTGAATTGGTTCCGTAAAGGCTGAGAATAAATAGACAGTCTGTATTTATATGACACCTTTTAAAGTCAGGTGTTGTGCCATATGCCATGATCACGGCTTTTGGACATTGGGAACCAGGGCCCATGTTTCATCCTGACATGATTACCAGAGAAGGAAATACAGTTTGGTGAATAACCAGGTGTGACTTGCCAGCCCCCTCTCTGTGAGGACAAGAAAAGCTGGGGTCCCCTTCGGCAGGGTCTCCAGCAAAAAAAATGGAGATCCTGGCCCAAAAGACCCAGATCTCCAGAATTATCAAGAATAAGTCGTCATGGTGAGCTTTCAGAACCAAACTGCTGCAAAACAGACCTTTTGCTGCACATTTCTCTTGAGTTTCAGGGTTTATAGAGCCAGATTGGATGGGAAGGAACCCTGCTGTGAGCCTGTAACCCCTGGTTGCTGTTAGCCTGACTGCTGAGCCGCTGCTGGATGAAACTCAACCTTCCAAATGGTAATGGACAAAAGGTTTGCAGGTCTGGCACAATTACAGACAGGACAAACAATATGTCTTTTGATGATGTTGATTATTTCATGT